GGGGGGGGGAGGAGGACCCCTCCCCCTCCCCGCGGCCCTCGACCGATGGACCCTCGACCCGAGCTCGGGCCTCGACCCTCGGCTCGCCCATCGTTCGGGCGCCCGTTTTCCACGCGCGCGTCGGCTTCGCGCGCGCTTCGCGTTTCGCGTCGGTTTGCGTTTCGCGTCGGTTTCGCGTCGGCTTCGCGTTTCGCGTTTCGCGCGCGCGCGCTTCGTGTCGCGCGTTCGCGCGCAATTAATGCTCCCCGGCCCAGGGCGGGCACGCCCCCCAAGCGGGCGGATCTCGGGCGAACGACTCGAGAGAAACATCAGCCGGCCCCCTGCGGGTCTCTAGGCGCGCGACGTCCCCCCCCCCATACAAATGCGGCGTCCAATGTCGGCACCGCGCTCTCGTTCGCGGGGTCTGGGTCAGCCCAGAAGGCAGCGTCGGGACCCCCTGCGGGTCTCTAGGCGCGCGACGTCCCCCCCCATACCCCCCCCCCGGGGGCCATGAACTGGCACTTCGACCCCCCTCCCCCCGCCGCGGGCGACCCGCCCCCGAACTCGCCACGGGGGGCGCGGGCGCCCCCCAGGCTCAGCGAGCGCCCCGGAATCTCTCTCGGAGGGCCCCGCGACTGCGCAAGAGAGCCCCACGTCGCCGAAAGGCCGCTGCACAACTCCCACAATCGACTCGAGACGGCCCAGGATGTTTGCAAGACGCCCCAAGAGGCGTCCAAGTGGCTCCAGGGGAACGGCCCCAGGAATAAAAACCAAAACCGCCAAATTCCCTCGGGAAAGCGCATATTTCCTTGCATTCGCCCGCTGGCCTGCCACCACGTCCCAGACGGCCCGCAAGGCACCCAGGAAGGCTCCGAACGGCCCAAGAGGCCCCACCGAGGCGGCCACAGAAGCCGCCAACACGGCCCTAGAGGCGCCATGACCGGCCAAAGAAGCCTCCAAGACGGCCCCCGCAGGGGCACAAGAAGGGGGGCCCGATCCGAAAAGTCCAACCTTCCGCCCAAAGTAGCTCCCGGGAGGCCCCAAGAGGCCCTCAAGAAGCCCCAGGAGGCCCCGACGAAGCCCCCAAGGGGCCCCAAGAGACCCAAAAACGGCCCCGACGAATCCGAGGCGGCCCTCAAGGGCCTCGAAACTTCACCCCAAAGGCCCGCGAGAAGCCTTTCGCGAGATCCCAGCGAACGCCACGAAAACCTCGCACCCACAGCCCAGGCGCGGCGCCAGGATGCGACGAAGGCAAGTGGCTCGTGAAAAGGGCCGCACGGCCCAATCCCTTACCGAAAACGCTCGGAGACACGGGCGGGAGCAGACCCTGGGGGAGAGCGACGGGGAAGAGAGGCAGCAAGAGGACGATTGGCACGACGGCAACGCCACTCCCGGGAAACGGCCCCTGCCCTTCGCCCGCAACCCACCCAGAGCTGGTGACCGCAGCAGCTCTCCAGGCACTCCCGGCCAGACGACTTGCCCGGCGCCGGGGCTGCTCCCCCTGCGGGCTCGAACGTCAGTCGATGTGGGTCGACCCTGAGTCGAACCCGAGTCGAACCTGAGTCGAACCTGAGTCGAACTTGAGTCGAACCGGGGTCGAACAGATCCGTCAGGTGGGCTCCATAGGAAGGTCCCCGAAACGAGTATCGAATATGGCAGCTACTCCCGGAGCACACGGCGCCCGTGCTGGAAACCAGGCCCTCCTCCTTTCGCGGCACCCTCTGCGAGCTCCGTCGCGGGCCATTCTCTCTCTCTCTCTGCCCGCGTCTCCTCGACGAGGCGCGCGCGCCCGCCGCGCCGACTCGCTCGCCGCCGTCGCCGCGCTCGCGCGCGCGGCGAAGACGGTCCCCTGGCGGCGTCAGCTCCGGATGCTGCAGCTGCCTTGCCGTGCCCGCGGGCGGCGCGCCCGGGAATTCGCGCTCGGCGACGCTCCGCTGCGTGCCACGGCACCCCCCTCCACCACTTCTGCCCTGCTTTATTGAAGGGGCCCCAGGACACACAAATAAAAACACACTAATAAAAAGATTCCCCATATTTCCCCATCTGTTCTGGGTGTTTGTCTTCCCCCCCACTTCCCATATTTTCCCATATTTTCCTGGGACTCGACGATTAATTGTGTCTGTGTGTTTTTCTCCTCCTGATTTATGTCTTCGGCTTCCTGGTGATCGGAGTCGGAAGCCTGCAGTTTCGAACGCCGTCTCATGAATGCACTGCTCGCTCGGACCAACGGGGTTGAATCCAGCCTCAGAGCAACCCACGAACGCCAACCCCGGCACAGGGCGACCGCAAGACACCCCCCAGAGAGCATCGCGACCTGGCGGCGAAGGCTCCCGCCCGAAGCGCCACAGCAATCAAAAATCGCCGCCGGGCAATTCTATAACCCCCCCCCACCCACCCGCAAGAGTTTCCAAATGAGTTCCTCACTTCGTCGTCGGCCGCAGCGATCACCTGAGGCGGGGTCGCAGGAATCGCTGCCTCCGAAGACACCTCGTTCTGCCAGCGCGCGCTGAAGCCCAAGTGGCGCACCGGGAGAGCCCCGGCATTTCCCGCGCAAGGCTCGCCACACGGCGGCGCGACTCGAAGCAGCACGGCGGGGGCGCAACATTTGGGAGCGACGAGTCTGGCACGGACCCGCAGTAGCGGCGGGGGAGGGGGATGGAATGGACGAGGGGGCGAAGGTGCCAGGGCGGATGGCCCGATTGTGTTCGGATCGGGGGGCACGGCCAACGGATACCTCAGCAAATGCCCAGGCCAGCCGCAGAGGAGAAAGGCAACGAAAGCGACAGCAAACCATGCGACAACAACATCCCAAACTACAACCGCAACCACAAAAGCACAACAACACAAGCAGAAGGTGAACTTCCTGGTCGGGCCGTCGGCCAAATGGTAGACGATGCAAAGCAGGAGATTCCCAATCAACAAAAACGCCACGCGAACATCGCAGCAACACGAAACTCACGCGCAACTCATAAAAAAAACAACCAACCGAACCATACCGTGAAGAACGATAAAAACAGCGACAACAAAAAAACACAATATCGACAGCGACCACACAATCTCTCCCCCCCTTCATCATCATCAGCATCATCATCGGCATCATCACCAGCATCAGCAACACCATCAGCAGCAGCATCATCATCATCATCATCATCATCATCATCATCATCATCATCATCATCATCATCATCATCATCATCATCATCATCATCATCATCATCACCGACGTAATCATAATCGTCGTCACCATCGGCGTCATCACCATCGTCGGCATCCTGGGGTCCGAGTGGATGGGATCGGTGCCGATAAGGTTGCTCTTCCCTCGTTCTCGCATTTGCGGCCTGTCGGGGTGGCCCTCGTCGCCACGGCTGGATTGGAGTTGCCTCGAAATCCTCCTCAGAACGCACACCGGGAGAGGTCGGGGGATCAGCGGCATTCGTAAAACTCGCCAAACCTCTCAAATGATCGACGACAAGAAACCGATCCCACGCGAGCTGGCATAGCAAACTGACGCGGTGGTTTACGCGGGCAACCACCGCGGCACGCCACAGTGGACACGAGGGCGCCCACGCGCCACCTTACGCGGGAAACTTACGCGCGAATGTCCACACAATCGATCCCGTTTCCTTCCGGCGGTCCGAGGGCATGGGGTCGGCACACTAGTCGGGGGCTTGACCTAAGGAATCCAAAATAGGGAACGAGGCCCCTCTTTCCCAAAAGTTAAACTTCGATTTCCGATCGAAAACATAAGGAAAACCTGAGGCAAGCTGCGAAACACTTAAGGAACGCGGAGCCCCTCCCCAACGAAAAGGGTTCCTTCTTCAGGGCCCCGACTGTACCGCTGCGTTCGCGTTGCTGTTTTCCGGTGTTCACACGGGGGCTCTTGGAAACCTTGCTTTCAAAACCGCCCCACCGGGCAGTGTTGCTAGCCAGTGAGGGGCACGCATTGGCAACGCACGCGTTCGCAGTGCTCGCGCTCAGTCAAGAGAAAACGCAATGATACGCTTGAAAGCTGCGCGCCGAGAGCCCGGGTGGCTTTTGTTCACGGCCCCGAGGCGCGGTGAAACCCTCCAGATGCCGAATGTGGCCAGGGCCATCCCACCCTAATTTCTTAGCAGCGCAATATATCCATCCTGGGTTTTGCCCTGCAAGTGCGCTAGGCCAGAGTTTTCGAACCAGTTGCCACCGTGGCGACGCGGGCCCCTTTCAGGACCCAGAAACAAAGGACAGCGCAAGAATCCTCCAACCCATGATGCCCCAAGATGCACCCAGGAGGCCCCAAAGATGCGCCCACAGGCCCCCAAAACGAGCCCGAGGCGCTGTCAAAACTGCTTTCGAGAGACCCTGCCCCCCCACACACACACACACACACACACACACACACACACACACACACACACACACACACACACACACACACACACACACATATATATATATATATATATATATATAATGGGTCGGCGGATGTGGCGAAAGCCTATAAATGATTCGAGATAGACGAAAAATCGTCCCCAGACTGCTTTCGAGGGACATGCCCGACTGAATCCTCGATGGCCCCCGCCGAGAAAAGAGCGCACGCGTCCGAGCGATGCCAGAGCTAACTGACCCTCTCCTGCCCGGCGCGGCCCCCCCGCCCCCGCGCGCACACGGGGAAGTCGGGCTTCCAGTCGGGGAGCTCCGCGATGGTCGGCCAGTCGGCCTCCCTGGGCGTCCCCAGGACCTCCGCGGCAGGGGGGAAGTGCGCGGCGGGGATTTGTCCATACGCGCCGCCTGGCAACCGACGTCCTGCTGCCCCAGCGGGCGGTGGATATGGATATAGTTTGGCCCCTGGGGGTCCGAATATGTCCGTATCCACCGCCTGCCGAGGTCCCCGAGAATTGATCCTCCAGGCGGTGGTCATGTAGAAATTCCCGCCTCGGAGGGGGGGAGAGAGAGAGAGAGAGAGAGAGTTCGGCTCGGCACGCTCGGAGGCGGACGGAAGGGAGGCGGAGGAGAGTGCATGAAGGGAAGGCAGAGAAGCACGACGACTGAGAAAGGCCAAGAGTCGGCGACTTCGCGGCATCCAGCATGGCTTAAGTCGGGCCTGTCCCCCTACAGGGGGATTCTCAACGAAAAAAATCAACAAATAGTCTGGGGACTATTTTTTGAATATTTGTATACCTTTTTGGGGCATGTGCGGGGTATGTTTTATTTTTCGTCGAACTTCCCCCTGCAGGGGGACAGGCCCGACTTAAAGCATGGCCCCCGACGTGCCCCCCCGCGCAGACTCCCAGGGGGGGGGGGGGGGGCCGCTGGCCCAGACGTCGGCGACTTCATGGCCCCCCGCGCGGTCGCCCGCACGGCACTCCCGCGCGGAGAGCCCCCGCGCGGCATCCTGCCTGGCGCCTCCCGCGCGCCATCCCGCAGTGGTCGCGGCCCGCGGTTTCCCGCACGGTCTGCCGCGCGGCCTCCCGCGAGGTCTCTCCCGCGCGGTCTCTCCCGCGCGGTCTCTCCCGCACGGTCTCTACCGCGCGGTAGCCAGCGTGCTCCGCCGCCCGATCTCCCGCGGGATACCCCCGCACGGTCTCGCGCGCGCTTTCCCGCGTGGTCTCCCGCACAGCCTCCCGCGTGCTCTCCCACGAGAGGGCGGATGGGGGCAGGGGGGGAGAAGGGGAGCGAGGGGGGGAAGAGGACGAGAAAAGGGAGGGGAGGGGAGGGGAGAGAAGGCGAGGGGTGGCCCGGCGGGAGAAGGGGGGGACGGGGGCCAGGAGCAGAGGCCTATAGCCTGGACCCGCGCGGCGATTTCCCGCGCGGGTCTTCCCGAGCAGCCTCCCTCGCGGGGCTTCCCCCGCGGTCTCCCGAAGAGGCGGTCCTCCCCGCGGGGGGCCCCCCCGCGCGGCCTTCCCCGCGCGGCCCCCCCGCGCGATCCCCCCCCCGCGCGCAGCTTCGCCCGCCCGCGCGGCCTGCTGCGCGGCCCGCCCGCGCCCTCCCCCCCTGCGTGCGCGGTGCCCTGCAGCGCTCCCCTTTGCTGAAGGGGCCTGTAGGACGCACAAAAGGAGCAGACACAACTCACAGGATCCCCCATCTTTTCCCACAGCTTCTGGGTTTTTCTCTTCCCCCCCCCCCAACCCCACACTTCCCACAGTTGCGCATCTTTTCGGGGGAATCGACGATTAGTTGTGTCTGTGTGTGCTTTTGCCTCCTGATGTGCGATGGACTGTGCTGCATGAGGTCTGCCGCCGCCAGGGTGCCTCGTTTCCACGGCGACGGGCTTCGGACGGCGAGGCCGTCTTGAGAAGAAGAAAAAGAAAAAGAAGAAGAGGAAGAAGAAGAGGAAGAAGAAGACGAAGAAGAAGCGCCAAAAACTAATGCTTCTGGCGCTCCGCGCGGATGTCTTGGATCTGCGCTGGACCCTCCCGCGCCAGGGGCGGCGCCGGAGTCGCCGCCGGGGGGGGGTCGGCGGCGGTCGGCGGCGCGGATCCCAGAAATCGCGGGGAGCGCCAAAAGTTTATGTTTACGCCGTTGGGTGTATCTTTTTCACGGCGACGGGCTTCGGACGGTGAGGCCGTCCCTGGCGCACCGCCAGCTTGGTGAGGGCGAGGAACTGCTGGGCCGCGGGCAAAAAAACACCGCGGCAGGGCAGCGCGGCAGCGGCGCGGGAACGAGCCACGCCGGCGAGGGCGCGGCCGAGGGCAATGGCGGGCTTGTTATTCACCACCACCACCATAAGTACGAGGGGGAGGTGGTCCTCCTCCTCCTCCTCCTCCTCCTCCTCCTCCTCCTCCTCCTCCTCCACCTCCACCACCTCCACCACCTCCTTCCCCCCTCCAACTTATGGTGGTGGTGGTAGCGGAAAACAAGCCCATCAGGTAAGAGGATGCACTGGGGTGAGGCAATGCACCCGGTCCTTGGCAAGCTGCCTGCTCCGAGGGGGGCTTCCCGGGCGGCTAGGCTGCGGCGAGAAAGAAGCGGAGAGAGCCGGGAGCCGAAGCTGAACAGCGGCGCTGGGCGGGCCCCAAGGCGGTCCAGAGAGTGGGCAAGACCGCACTGGCCCGGGCACCGACACACACACATACATACATATACACAATACACGATGCTGGCAAACCTGCCGTCACTCTGCATCGGCTTTTGACAGGGGTGGTGGGGGGCCGACATCTTGCCCAATGTGGCGCACCTGGCATGTGCGGCGCACCTCGTTGGTTTTGCGCCCCTGGCTGCGTCTTTGTTGGTTGTCGATGGCGGTTCCTGCTTATGCTGCGACTCGGGTACTACCTATGTAGTTGGAGGGCGGGTTAGAGAGAGCGAGACAACTTGCGGCGTTCCCGCTGGGAATTTGATCACTGTTCCCTATTAATCAACACCTCCTCCCCCACCCGACAGGCAGCCAACCCGAACCCATGATAACCCCGTCCCCCACCATCCCTGCCAACAGAATACAAGATACACTGTGCCTCCAAATCTGGAGCATGCGCGGGTGTCCTGCGACCAACTTTGCACTGCTTGTTGACAGGGACGGCGGGGGTACCCTCATATGGCTTGCTGCGTACAAGGCAAGCATCCCCGTCAAAGACCATGCAATACATAAATCTGGAGCATGCGCGGGCGACCCGCGACCACTTTGCACAAGTTTTTAACGGACGGCGGGGGTGTGCTCATATTGCTTGCTGCGCGCAGGCCAATGGGTGAGACGGCTTGCGCCTTGTGGACAGGAAGTGTCTTGATCGCTTTTCCCTATCAATGAACACACACACACACCAGGCGACTGACAGCCAACCCGAAACCATGCGCGCACCCAGGAGGGCACCTCCCACACATCATCCCTGTCAGCAAAACAATATAATGCACACTTTGACACGAACTGATGGGTCCGAGCTTGGCAAGAACATGCACCAACATAAAGATCAACTGCAGCGCAAGCGCTTTCCCCCAACATCCACTAAGGGTATCAGGTGGAGTTAACTACCCGCGCGAGTTCAGGCGTGTCTGATCCACCGCAGCATGTCATCCTCATATTGCATCGACATCATCATCATCATCACAATCCATTTTCTTATTCGGCGCTTCGACATTGGGCGGAAGGGGGGGAGGGGAGTGTCTGGCTCAGGACCTCTTCTTAGTGCGACTGATTGGAACAGTGCGTCCTATAAGGGAGACTCCACCTGCTCGAAACAGGCGCCAAAAACAACCAAGATCTACTCCATGCCGTGGTGGAAAGGGAGGGGTACGAGGGCCCGCGCCGATGGGCAAAAGAATGAATAAGAAAACGACGACTATGCTCGAAGAGTTGTTTCGAAGACCCGCGTATGTTGTTGAGGATGTCTCGAACGAAACGCCTGCTTTTGAACGAAAGCATCAGGATACCATTAGTGGTTCAATGTGTTCACCTCCTAGACCGTCTAGGGAGTCCTCCAAAAGAACCCCCGAAAAATAATGTCGTAAAACAGCTCTTTCAACATCCCATGTGTTTGCGGATGTCCCAGGCGAAAGCCCTCATCTGAATACACCCAGATTTCGCAAGCGAGTGCAACATCTCCATGTGTTGAGGATGTCTCAGGCGAAAGTTTCATGTTTTACACGAGACGTCGTAAACGAAAACCTCCAACATGTCCATGTTGTGAGGATGTCTGAGCCGAGAACCCAGGAGACACCTCCAAGGCGTCTGCAAGTGGAACAGGCGTCTCCCAAAGGAGTCTTCCAGGTGGTCGAAGCCATTTTTGACCCAGAGAACATGCCTTCGTGATTGCCTTTGTCCCATCTTCTTTTCCGATGGCCGTCAGAGGATCCAGGATGGCTCCAGGATGGACCAGGGGAGCGCTGCGAGGGACCACGAGATCCCCAAGACTGACGGGCCTGTTTTTCACCACCACCACCACCATAAGTTGGAGGGGGGAAGGTGGAGGATGAGGAGGAGGAGGAACAGGAGGATGAGGAGGAGGAGGAGGAGGAGGACCCTCCATGGTGGTGGCGGTGGAAGAAATGCCACCAAAGAAGGCCCCAAGGGCCCCTGGGAGCGCTCCAAGCGCGCCCAAAACCGTCTCCGGACACAACGGACACGGATGTCCAACTTGTCCGGGCGGCCGTCCCGATGGATCTCCGAGGATTCCGGTTGGTTCCAAGAAAGCCCCGAGAAGGGCCACAGAACATCTCCAGGACGGCCATAGGCCCATGAGAGCGCTCCAAGAGCGCCCCTGACGTGTCCGGACACAACTGATATGGATGTCCAGCTTGTGTGACCCGCCGTCTGAAGAGCTACGATGGCCCTGCGAGGCGTCAAGATGGTTGCAAGAGGGCCCAAGAAAGCCCCCCAAAAAGGCCCAATAGGTCTCCAAGACGGCCCCTAGACGGCCCAACTAACGCCGCAAGCCGCCTCCGGACAACACGGACGTGGAGGTGCCGCTGTCCGCCTCGAACATTTGTTGCGCGTCGAATGCACGTCGGATCCACCCCGAATCTTCGCCGAATCCACATCGAGTCAACGTCGAATTCGCGTCGAGCCCGCGTCGGATAGAGGAGAAGACCATCATTTACAGGAAAGACGAGATTCTACAAAGATGCCACAAAGGTAAGGACGGATGAGAAAGTAAGAGAAGGAGGGGAGATGAGAGGCTGGCCTTGAATATTTTCTGCAGCTGGTCCTGGTCAGTGTTCCCGGGGAACAAAGGCCGGCCGTTCACCATTTCTGCCGGGCGCTGGGATGCGGACTGGGCAACCCTATTCCCTTCCCGTCTCTCCATACCCCTCCTCGCACCATTTTCCTCCCATCCCCTCCATCGCCTTTGCCCCTCTCCCCATCCTCACCTCCTAAACCTCTCAATGCGAAAGTATTCGACTACGAACGCATCCCGTTCGACAATGGGTCTACACCCATGGGGCAACGGGCCCACACCACGAAGGCCCGTTGTATGCTACCGTGTCTCACGATCAATGCCAATGCCGACAAGCCCCACATTCTTGAAAAAGGCAACTCCGACACCCTTCCGCAATGACGCCACTAAAGGTTTCAATCGACGTCACCACAGTCCAGCGACGAACACGACATCAGATACAGAAATCAACCGTGGACGCACGCAACACGCCGAGGCAACGATCAGGAGTCGGCTCCGTCCTCAAGGCGGGCATCCACTGAAGATCACATACACCAAATGTTACCGCCTCCTACGGACACCAAACGTCATCCACCTGGAAAACTACAGTCGGGGCGTTGACCTAAGGAACCCTAAATAGGAACGAGGCCCCTTTTTCCATAAGTTAACCTTCGCTTTCCTATCGAAAACATAAGGAAAGCCTGAGGCAAGCTGTGAAACAATCAAGGAACACCGAGCCCCTCCCCAACGAAAAGGGTTCCTTCTGCAGGGCCCCGGCTGTACGCCAAATGTTACCGCCTCCTACGGACACCAAATGTCACCCACCTGGAAGACCATTTGAGGTGGCGGCCGCACTTGTCACCCAAGGAGGACGGACGCACTGCCAGGGGAGCCCCTTCCACGAGGAGGCCTCGTGAGGTGAACGCCTCGACCTCGAATGATCAGTTTGCGATCGGTTTCCCAGGCATGACAATCGTAAGAGACCCCCGTGGCATGCGCCGTCGTCTTCGCGACTCACTTTCCTGGCCAGGTCAAGCCACACACCGCCCGAACTGGGCCAAACAACCACTCACCGTTAACCACGAGGGGTCTGTAATGTTGATCCTGCCCGCCCCCTGCTTTCCTTGGCGGGGAAGAAACTCGACCCTCCTCCTCCTCTTCCTGCTCGTCCTGCTCCTCCTTCACCGCCCCCCCTCCTCCTCCCCTCTGCTCCTCTTTCTCCTCCTGCTCCTCCTCCTCCTCCTCCTCATCCTCATCCTCCTTTCCGTTTGCTCCTCCGTGTCGCACCCCGCAGCCAGTCGAAAGGGCGGGCCGGCCGTTTCGCCCGAGACTTCCTCACCAATATGTTTCAGGGTCATAACTGTCATGAGCCTGAAGCTTGTATATATTGACAACAATTTGACAAATGGAGAGCGGGTCGCTTTTCAAAGTGTGGCTCTCGCCGTAGCGCCGCGCACATTCGCTTTTGGATATGGCAAGAGCTTCACGGATTGAGGGTGGGTAGTTTTCAACATGTAGTTCTCGCCTTAGCATCGAGAACATTCGTCTTAAACATTTGCAAGAAATTCACGGATTGAGGATGGGTGGTTCTGAAAATCTGGCTCTCGCCTTAGCGCCGCGCACATTTGTTTTAAACTATTGCAAAAGTTTCACGGATTGCAGGCGGGTGGTTTCAAGATCTGGCTCTCGCTTGAGCGCCGCGTACAACCGTCGTATAACAACTTGCATGCGCCTCATGAATTTGCAAAAGCTTGACGGATGGAGGGCGGCTCGTTTTCAAAATGTGGCTCTCACCTTAGCGCCGCGCATGTTCGCTTTAAGCGTTTGCAAGAGTTTCACGGGTTCCCATGGCCAACGTCCCAGACGTTGTGTTTTGGAAGGATTCAAGATCGTGATGGTGCAGCAATTACGTTGGTTCGCTGTGTTGACGTCCCAAGAACGGCGTTCCGGCACGAGTCAAAATCGTCAAGGCGTAGTACTCAGGTTGATCCGTGGCGTTGGAGTCCCGAGCATGGTGCTTTGGCACGGAACAGGGTCTTCGAACGGTCGTCTCGCAACGAGGCAATTTTCTCAGTGGACATGAGCCCTTGGAAGGGCCTATGAAGAGGAAGCGTGGAGCGATGGTATGTTCCAACATCGTTGATGAGTCTTGGGTTTACACTGGTCCTCCTCCTCCTCCTCCTCCTCCTGCTCCTCCCTCTTCTCCTCGTGTTCCTCCTGCTCCTCATCGTGGTCGATATCGTAGTCGTAATCGTCGTCATCGTCGTTGCGGCGGAAATTATGTTCCCTCTACTGTCTGGCGGACTGGACAATGCTACGGGGCTTCTGTCTCCCAGAAAATAATCCACCGTGGGCGACCCTACAGGCGAGAGGATGTGTGAGCATCTTCTCATGACAATTACAAAAGGAGTCAGTGGTTGTGGTTGTAGTCGCGATTGTAGTCGTGGTTGTAATAATGATTCGAATCGTGACTAAATTTGAGGATGTAGTGGTAATGGCAATCGCGATTGTAGTCGCAACAATAATCGTAGTTGTAGTCGCGCTCGTAATCGTACTAGTCGTCGCATCGTGGTGGTAGTCGTAATCGTAGTCGTAATCGCCGTCGTCGTCGTCATCGTCGTCGTTGTTGCGCGGCAAATGCCGCGGAGAAATAAATACGTTCCGCTGTTGGTAGAGCCCCAGTCCGTCAATAAGGGCGTCAAACTGGTAATGAATTTCCACGGCTGGGGGGGTATAAAGACCCTTCCCGGGAAACATCAGGCGACCACGCAAATGTGACAGAACGCCCACCCGCGTTTCGTTTCCATCGGTCCATCCGCCTCAGCAAACTCCAAGAAGCAAAGCGCGACAACTACAGCCGCAGCAAGGAAGACCTCTCCGCTGCGGTTCCCTCAAGCGAGGACTCCGAAATCATACCATCACCGCACTTTGCCGCCACCCCGCAGGCGAATACTCAGAGGCAATACGCACGGACCACGTGGGGGCGACGAGGCCATCAACGATGACCACTCCGAGGTGATCTACCTCCGCGTCTCGACCGCCAGCGGCGAAAAGGCGAGGTTGCCCACGCGCGAACCAGGTGGGCACCTCTTCTGCCAGCAGAGGCATTGCATGAACCACGCGGCCTGCTGCTATTCTTGCCCCGCGGGCGCTGGCTGGCGCGCGGTGGCCGCCACTCCCGCTCCTCCAATCTGACACCCTGCCCCTGGCGACGCCAATGCTCTCGGGCCGGGCGAAAGGGGGGGATGGCAAAAGGGGGGGTTGAGAGTCAGCTCACGTAGCTGATTTTCCCGGCGCCCCCCGGCGCCGGAGGCGGCGATGCATCGAGGAATGGGCCCCTCGGCGGGGCCGAAACCAGCTGCACGCAGCAGATTTCGCAACCCCCCCTTTCCCAATCCCCCCCTTTCGTCCGGCCCGACACTCGCCTCCGCAGACGCGGCATGGAGTCCGGCAACCTGGCGAGGCTGCCAGCAGCCCCGCACAGCTACCGTCAAGGGATGGTTGGTTGGTTGGAGGGGCCTTAAAGGCAGCAAAAGGAAACAAAAGACCGAGGGGCCTCCAGGGGCACCCAGCGCCACCCGAGACACGCCCTCCCGAGAGGGGCCGCCTAGGGCCGCCTCTCCCCGCGGGGGCCGCACTGGGCCCCCACCGCGGCCGCACAACAAGGCGAGAACAGATCTACATACAGAATGCAACTGCCCGCCTCACGCACTACTCTTGGGCCGCGTCGTGCAACGCGCACGGACCAAAAGACCATCGAGGAGCCGCGCACGCTCCTTGGCATCTGGACAACCTGCACTGCCGAGGCGGATGCCGAGGGCGCGGGCCTCGGCCCAGTCCAGGAGTGACTCAACTCCCGACTTCGGTCCCTGGGCCGCACACGCCACCGCCGCCACCGAGAAGTCGTCCAGGAATGGAACGAACCCGCGCTCCGAGCCCGAGTGGCCATCGCCCGCGGCGCAGCCGACGGAGTCCGCGACCAGGGGTTCCATGCCGACGGCGTGCTCGATGGCCGAACCTCCCACGGGCTCCTCCACGACGGCCACGGGCGGCGGCCGCGGCGCCCCAGCGCCCACGGCCACGGGCCCCTCTCGCCCAGGCCCCTCGGCGAAACGCACTCTCCAGGTGAGTCGCCGACGAGGCCTCGCGGAGATGCCGAACCTCTCGCACTCGCAGACGTGCATCAGGCCGACGGCCTTCGCCTGGCTCGTCCAAGCTGGGTCCGCCCACTGCGGGACAGGGCAATGCCGAAGGACTCCTGCCACGCCGAGCGGGCCTCCCAGGGCCCCCACCTCCAAGGCGGTGACGTCGGGCCACGGAGCGAAGGATACCCGCTTGACCCTCGCACGCCCTTGCCCGACAGGAACAGCCCCGCCCAGCTCGCTGGCCCTCCTGTCGCCGAGCAGCCCGCACGGCACGGGCGCCACGCCGCTCCCCTCGGACCCGCCCTGCTCCTCGGGGCCAACCTCGGAGCCGCCGGCCATGAGCTCCACCGCGTCACCAGGCGGGCTCGCCAGAACCGCCACGTCGGTCTCTACCGCCTCGGTGCACCCTGCGCCGTCCTCGCCGGAGCCCTGCTCGGCCAGCTGCGCCACGCCGAGTTCCTCCAGCAGCGCGGCCCAGCGCGCCCACTGGGGAAGGTACGGCTGGGCGCCAGAACGCAGTGGGGCCCTCGCGGCCGCCACTCGGGCGCTGGGCATCCGCGCTGGCGCGTCTGCCACACAAGCATCCACAGCGCACTCGAACGGCGGCTGCACTTCGCAGACGCAGGTCTCCACCTCACACACGATGGCACTCTGCGCCGCACCGCCACGCCCATCACCAGGAAGGGGCCCTCCTGGGAGGCGCGGCCCGCGCTGAGCCCTGCGCCACGCCTGCGGCGGGGCGTCGGCCGACGGGCAATGCTCGGCATGCCACGCGACGTTCCGCCTCTGCCGCTGCGCCCTGGTCTCGCGGCGTCCGCGGACGCGCGCCACCAAGGCGGGCCGCGCGATGGTTTCGCGGCGGAGGGCTTCCGCCTCCGCGGCGTCGCCGCGCGACCCGCACTCCAGCTGCGCGCGGAGGCTGGCGATGACCGCCTTCGCCTCCCGCAGCT